CACCCAATGGTTAGATGTGTTCAGACCAAGACAATACAGAAGGACTATCACAGTATGGCATGATAGGAAGAGCACTAGCTCTGAAGTCAGAGGACCTGTTCAAAGCATACCTCTGACACCCAAGGTAATATAGTCACTTAAACTCCCTGGGCCTCAGTTTCCAACTGTAAAATGAGAGAATTGGATCTGATGGCCTCTAAGGTCCCTTTTGGCTCTAAATCTATGATCCTTGTACTACCTACCTCACAAGGCTGTTGTGAATAAAGTACCTCCCAAAAGGGGGGAACCAAACCTCAACCACCATCCCCGCTGACGTTGTCTTTGTTTTAAAGGAAAAGCCACACAATATATTTAAGAGAGATGGGTCTGATGTGATTTACCCAGCAAGGATCACCCTCCATGAGGCTCTGTGTGGCTATACAGCGAATGTGCAAACATTGGATGGTACGACCTTACCCACAGTGTTCAAGGATGTCAGCAAGCCCAGAATAAGGTAGAAGGTTCCTAAAGAAAGCCACGTGAGGACCTCATTATTGAGTTTGAAGTGAATTTCCCTGACAGAATTTCCCAATCTTCAAGAATCATCCTGGAGCAGATCCTGCCTATATAGCAATATTTGCTCCCCAAGGACTGAACCAAGGACATTCCAAAGCTCCCAGGGTAGAAGGGACCACAGAGGGTTTTCATAGCCTGAATGTTTCCAGAGAATATATTACAATCTTTCAAAGTCCTGCATTAGGCTTTAGTGGTTTTTCAAACCACTAGTAGGTTCACAGGTAATGGGGTAACACAAAAGTATTCCAAGGAATTTAACCCTCTTTAAATGATGCCAGTATAAGTAGTCTCCTCACCCTTCATAATCCAAGTTTTTTTGTTATCTCCAGCTGAGTCTCTGAGATGTATTAACTAATCCTACATACACATTCCTTCCTTTAGATGGAAAGCATTAGACCCACAATTGGACTCTGCTGTTCTTTAGCAGTTCTGGCTCTTACTCTTAGTTGATGTCTGTCTGTAGTATAGTCCTGGGGCAGATAGGTGGCACAGGGGATACAGCATCAGCCCTGGATTCAGGAGGACCTGAGTTCAAATCCAGCCTCAGACATATAACACTTACTAGCTGTGTGACCCTGGGCAAGTCATTTAACCCCACTGCCTAGCCAAGGAAAAAAAAAAAAAGAATATATCCCGGTTGCAAGACCATTTCTGCTCCTCATTGCTGTTTGTGGTATTACTTATGTATTTTATTCCAACTCTGTCTTCATGTGTCTCATTTCTGCTTCAAAAAATAATTACATCTTATATCTTTTCTTGCTGCCCCAGATTGAAACCTTATAATTTACTTTTGGAATTGCCTTGCTAGTGTCCAAAAGTCAACAGAAAGGGAGAAAATGGGAGATGTGACTTGGATAACTAATGGAGCATTCTAAAATTATTTCTCTATAATAATTTCTCTGCAGCCCATTCATAGGCTTTTCCTCTCCTTGGTCCACCTGAGATGTACAGGATTTGCCACTGACCCTGCAAACCCCTAACCCTTGGCCCACTCTGAACAAATGGACTCTGGACTCTCTCAAAAGGATCCAATCCTTTTGAATTTGGCACAGCCCTAGTTATAATCCCTTCTGATAAAAGTGTCTTTTGCTTCTGATACAGGAGCACCATGAAACTTCTGTAAATAATTTTGTACAAATTTTTGTATAAATCTGTATAAATTTGGTGGGCACTTAAAAAAACCCAACACACTGCAAGTAGTCTGCTACTCTCTATATAGGGCCATATTGGAATTAAAATGAAATTTTTGGAGGTTTTTTTTTTTTGGAACAACTTTATCTCTTCCCTGGAAATAGGTCTGGTGCTCAGGCCTGTAGATTTAATTGTAAGGTTGCTGCTGCAGACACAAGACCAAAGCACGTGACTTTTCAATGTGCAGTACGCTAGGATTTAAAACTGATGCTAAGCACCCCCACCCCCTGCCAAAAAAAAAACTGGGAAGATAAAATAGTCATAGGATCATTGATTTATAGCTGAAAGAGACACCAGAGGCCATCAAGTTAAATGCTTTTATTTTACAGATGAGGTAACTGAGGTAGAAAGAGGCTATGAGACTTGCCCAGAGTAACAGTGTCTGGAGCAAGGTTTGAACCTATACCTAACTCCTAGCTCAGAGCCTAAACACTACAGAGAGGTCAAGAAGAATGAGAACTTGGAAAATACCATCAGATTTAGCAATTAAGAGAGTGTCAGTAATCTTTGAGACAGCAATTTCAATTGAGTACTTATGTCAGAATCAAGATTACAAGGGGTGAGAAGTCAGTGGGGAGAAAGGAAACAGAGGCAACAGGTATAAATGGTATTTCCGAGGAATAACTGTATGCCTTACTTTTTTTTAGGATTATTGTTCAAAGATTCTATTTTCATTATATAGAAACTGTTTTGATTTGCTTATTGTTCAGCTCTTAGTAATATACTATCAAGGCCTATGAGCTATCAATTTAGAAATTCCCAATAATCATGGGCTTCATAGTCTACTTTAATGACACAGGACCCAACATGTCAATTAATGAAGACGCTCCCATCACTGAACAATTATAGCAAAAACTCATCTTAAAATGCTTCAGCATATGAGAAGATATATTTAACAAAGCCTTATGACCTCATTCAAACCAGAATTTTTGGAAAACTACTCAAAAACCAGTCAAAATATTTGTATATCTTGTTTTTATATAATGCTTTATAATCTTCAAAGTAGTTTCACATATATTTTATCTCATTTTTAACTTCAAGAGAAGCCTGTTACATAGGCAAAGTATATATTTATTAGTATCCTCATCTGACTTACAGGGAAACTGATACTCAGAAAGGTCAAGTGATTAGCTGAAGGTTACAGATCTATCAAGAAGCAAAGTTGCTAATTAACAGCTAGTTCAGCCTTTTTCTTGACTGATATTGTACTCTGACTCAAAATCATTTTGTGAAAACCTGAATTTTTATAAGAAAAAAGGAAAGAAGAAAGATAAATACTACCAGACTAAAAATTATCCTTTTTTTTTTGCTATCACATTTAGTTATAATAGGATAAATGAATGAATGTAAAAGCTTTTATAATGCACCTTCTATGTTCCCTATACTATTGATTAGGAAGAACAGTAACTAGTGGGTGCATTTATTTCTTGCTGAAATGTTAACACTTCATTTATTTAAATATCACTTACCCAACTACCTCATCTGAAACATAGCTAAAGAACCAGAATTAAGAGGGAAAGGACACTGAGCTACCGAGCCAGAGATCACAAAGTCCATATACTAACGCTCAAGCATTTTATTAATACAAGAAGTCCTTAGACCCTCAAAATTAATTTAATCTTTACTTTGCACATAATGGTAACAAACTATCTGGTTTCTCAGCCCAAGTGACTATAAACAACAAACTAGAGTCGTTTGAAAGGATACAATATGCTCTCCCCAAGTGGACACAATGACAACCAAAGGAAATGGGAGGCTGAAAGGAAATGGATTTTTTTTTTAAAAGGGGACACAAGAACTCAGAACAGCAGTCTTGAGCTTATATTGGGTATAGTGTCAAACATTACCACAATCCTTTAAACTCCCCTGAAGACACAATGCAACCAGTGATATTAATAATGAAGACTCTGAGTTACCAAAAAGAGATTACATTTTTTCAATATATGAACAAATGGACTCTGGACTCATTTTTTTTCATTTTTTTTCCTTTTTTTCTAAAATGAAAAGAATTGGGTAGTAGATCAAAGAAAGATTAACACAAAAAAATTAAACATTTTTAAAAAGGCACTTTTAAGGGATAAACTTCAGTTATGTAATAAATGTTCAAAAATAAAATATGTAACTAAGGATGTCAGATAACTTGAGTCATTCCTATAGAAAGCGTTACTATACCCTTGTTCTTATTAAAATTATGGTCTTATTAAATTGTGAGTTAGCCCAATGTAAATGTTAAGAACAACAAAAACCAAAACTGAATGCTATATGATTATAATGACCAAGTTTGGCCCCAGAGAAGAGATGAGAAAAATGCATCTCGTTCCTTTCCTTGCAGAGATGAAGATCTGTGAGTACAGAACGTAGAACATGATGGCAAGCTCAGGCGATAATGTTGGTTTGTTGGCTGAACTACTTTTTTCCCTCTTTTTCTTTGTTACAAGTTATGGTTCACTGGGTTGGGAAAGGGATAGGACATATTTGGAAATGAAGGTTATATAAAAACAAAACATATCAATATAAAAATGTTTTAAAGAAAATCTCACACACACACACACACACACACACACAAACACACACACACACACAAACACACACACACACACACAAACACACACACACACACACACACACACACACACACACACACACACACAGCCGGGCAGGCTGCCACGCACTCGTGTAGGCTGTCTGATTGCTCAGACGGCTTACAGAAAATACTTTTCCACTCTATTCTGTCTAGTCAGATGAAAAAGTAGCAGGCCTGACCATCTACTGTCACACTACAGTCTAAGGTCCTGTAGGTCTTACCTTCTGTTCTGCCTCCTCTACCCTTCCAGAGGAACCCTGGGCCTTGACATCTGCCCAGCTACGAAGCCCTTAGGATTTCTAAGCCTTGCCATCATTTAGACCTTGTCTCTTGAGATTCAGTGTAAGCTCCCTGGGAATAGGTACTGATTTGCCTTTTCTGTTTGTATACCCAGCATTTAGCATTCTGTTTGGCACATAGCATGTAATAAATGCTTTTTCATTCATTAGCCAATTTTTTTATTAATTACAGTAGCTTAAATCTAATCAAACATTGAAGAGGGCCTAACATATCTAAGATACTACACTAGGTGCTATGTTGTTAAAGACAATTATTCTGAACAACTTCAAAGTGAAGTTTATAACTTCATACAATCAGTAGTATTAGGTAATTGAGAAGTCCCTTCCTATTAGAGCCCCAATAATACTCTTGACTGCTCTCAGATACAAACCTACTGCAGCATGAAACTGAGATAAGGCATCTGCTAGTTGTCCAGCTGCCAATAATTTCTTGCCCATTTCAAGATGTTTTTCGACATCTCCATTTATTCCACATTCTGCACCTAAAACAAAAAAAATACATATTTTAGCTTTAATTATAATTTTATAAAAGGTGCTATCAAAAATACATACTTTTAGGACAAAATCATAAAACCAATACAAAAATAAAAGTTCCCTGAGTCACATGCCAAGACTTCACATGGGAAAAATGCAAGAAAGATCAAAGCGAATGAGTTTCCAAGTCACCACAGAAAGCAGTCTACAACTAAGAGGCACTCCATTTGTAGTTGAAAAAGTAAAATACAAAATTTTTTAAAATGTACTTCACTCTGAAAAATGTTACCAGGCTACAAAAAAAAAAAACTAAAGACTTAACAGGTAACATTCATTTACAGGTAGTATTATTGATAAATAAATCAACCTGGGCTTTCTAAAGGTAAAATCTTGATTGAAGCAATAAAGCAAACTTCTCATGCAGGCTGCCCGCAGCTGTCAGACCCTGTGCCAAATGGAAATGAAATAGAGAAGAAGCAAAGAAATTCTCTACTAACCCCTTCTAGATCCAGGCCTACTCCTCTCCTCCTCCTCCTCATTATCATCTTCATCTCAAGCACCTCCACCCCTACTCTTCACCTTCCAGTTCCCAATACTATCCCTACCTCCCCCACTATCCAAGGTCAATTCACCTCTTCACCATATAGCCTATAATGAGATATAACCACCATTTATAAAATGTTTTTTTGGGGGAAACTTCATACCCATCTGCACACACTTTACAAACTTATGGAAGATTTCTTTTAAAGTTGAGATGACTATCTATATACTAATGAATCTGCATATACACTAATAATTTTGATGAATTTGAGGCCTCAGTGATGTGCATTATTATCTCCAATGGAACACATTATGACTTTTCATCCTATTTGTCTCTAGTTCAAATCTTCCTGCAAGTCATCGTCAAGGGATCCAACCATCTCCCTCTAGATATCTTAACAAGGTGGATATCAGTGAAATACATGGTCTATCTACAGATTATGATATTATTCAGTGCTTTCTGAATCTCATAGATGAAATCTGTCTCTATATCGTCCAAAAATTGGCCACACTTCTAACTACAGCTTGCTTACCTGCCTCAAAACTACAACCACCTGAAGTAAGATTTCACTACTCTTTTCCCAACAGTTATTTGTTGAGGACCATTTGCCCTACCATTGCTCTCCCCAATGACCACTAGGCCTTTCCATCTGTTCTGTTCCAATGTGTTGTTTTCCCTAATTAGAAAGTAAGCTCCTTGGGAGTTAAGGGCTGTCTCATTTTTCTACTTGCATCTCTAAGTGCTTAGCACCATTCTTGACACAGCATTTAATGACTCTTTCCATTACATACAAATTTCAGCTATGTAATTGAGGTCCCTAACTCTGAAATTCTGCCATTTAGGATTTGCCTTATTTCCTCTAATTTAAATTAATCCCTGCTAAATCAATTTTGAAGTAGTTGGGTGGTACAGAAGACAGAGCACCAGACCTGGAGTCAGGAAGACTCATCTTACTAAATTCAAATCCAGTCTCAGACATTTACTAGGTCTGTGACCCTGGGCAAGTCACTTAACCCTGTTTGCCTCAGTTTCCTCATCTGTAAAATGAACTGGAGAAGAAAATACAAACCACTCCTGTATCTTTGCCAAGAAAACCCCAAATGGGGTCACAAAGAGTTGGACACAACTGAAAACAACTCAATAACAACAACAAATCAATTTTGGTCATTTTTTTGCTATAATTATTCATCCCTTTCCCTTAAATTCACCAATTTAAGATCAAAGGATTTAGAAAGAATTAGAGGGGACTTTATTAGTAAAGGTCAGTCATACTCTATTTTCCCTGAGATGTCTTATTTTCAATCACTGTCATATCTATTTCATTTCTTATTTGGGCCATTTTTTCTCTTCCTTTTTTGATTTAAGTATACTAATGGATTTGATTTGATTCCCCCAAATCATGCTATTAATTTTGTTAGTTCACACATTTTTCAAATTACATTTTATTAATTTCATACATTTAGTCGATTTCCAATTGTCTACTTTCCTTTGATTTTTATTTGTTTCTTCTCTAATGTCTTTAGGTATAGATTTAAATCATTTAATTGCTCTCTCATTTTCTTATTAATATAAGCATTCATATCAATAAATTGGCCTTTGATAACCACTTGGCCAAATATCCCATGGCTTTTGATATGTTATAAATATTTTTATACAACTCTAACTTGATCTAATTATTTTTAAGTTATTGATGCTAAAAAAAATTGGATATGGAAAAAGAAAAGGATAATACTACCTACTATAATAAAGTACATCAACTGCCTAATGTCTTTATTTTTGGGGATTTTTTGTTTTTCTTTTTTTCTTGCTACAAAATGGGGTTAAGTGACTTGCCTAAGGTCATACAGCTAATAAATGTCAAGTGTCTGAGGCCAGATTTTAACTTGACTCCTCCTGACTCCAAGGCCGGTGCTCTATCCACTCCATCACCTAGCTAGGTTGTTTTTGTTTTTGTTTTTGTTTTTAGGCAATTGGAGTTAAGTGACTTGTCCAAGGTCACACAGCTAGTGTCTGAGGCCACATTTGAACTCAGATCCTCCTAACTCCAGGGTTGGTGCTCTATCCATTTCACCACCTAGCTGCCCTCTAATGTCTTTAGGTACAGATTTAAATCATTTACTTGCTCCCTTATTTTCTTATTCACATTAAGCATTCATATCAAGAAATTTTCCTCTAGTAACCAAATGGCCAATATCCCATGGGTTTCACTATATTGTCATTATATTTATACAACTCTAATTTGATCTATTTTTTTAAATTACTGATGTTGACAAGAGGGATAGGGACAAAGAAAAAGGCAGTAACACTTACAATAAAGTAGTATCAATGCCATGGTAAAAATAACTTGCCATAATAACAACATAAAAATAGTCAGCAAATATTTGATTCACTAGCTAAAAAAGCCATGTGGAAGCCAACAGAAACTTCCATTCAGGATACAAATGTGTTTGTAAAATCTTGCAGGAAAAACAGTTGACGATTCTGAAAGTTAAGATCCCATAAAGTAAAAGAGAAGTAATGAAGAGTAAAAGCAAAGTAAAGAAAGCTTGGCAAGAGACCCAATTAAGCACAGTCATCCCACTAGCATTTATTGTTAAAAATGGAAGAAAGAAGAGAAGCAGACAAAAAACAGAAAATATCTTCAAGAATTTTTTTAACAACATTTTTCACCATCAAGGACAATGAAGCTATTACTCTTGTACTCTCAACAGCACAGTCCTGGATGTGCCTGTGGAGGAAGTAATAGAAATGGCATTGAACAGATATTGCAAATAAACAAGGACTCAAACCCAGAATTGAACAAGGGGAAAAAGACTGTGCTATGTTGCCTTCGGGAATCTCATTCTTTTAATGATCCCAACCCTCTCTCTGAAACAAAGCCTTCATTTTTAATAGTTATGTTCTTCTTGTATTATTATATGGATGTAAGAATCATCCAGAAGGCAGCAACATTCCAGGGAGAAAAACTTGGCAGGCCACACAAATTACAAACAAGAAGCTATGAGGTTGAACCAAAGTAAAATAAGCCCAATAAATACATGAGTAAAAAAGATACTGGATGGACTTCTTGTGGAAAATTTATAGGAGGGCATAGACAAGAATTGAACAGAATGAGCAAGCACTAAAGGGTTGGGTTCTGTATTACTGGAGGAAATTTACACATCAAGGAAATCAAAGATCCATTTCAGCATTCCAAGTATCTTTTAGATATTTTGTTTTCTTGGGCCCAATTGTTCTAATATGTTGTTTTTTGTTAACACCTTTTTTGTCATGTTTTTATTATATTTTCTAATTTTTTTGTGGTGTATGCAAATAGACTGTAAAATTTCTGCCTTTAAAAATTAACAAAAAAAAAAAATAACCAAAAAAACATTAACAAAAGGGGGCAGCTAGGTGGCACAGAGGATAAAGCTCCAGCCTTGGAGTCAGGAGGACCTGAGTTCAAATCCAACCTCAGACACATGATACTCACTAGCTCTGTGACCCTGGGCAAGTTACTTAACCCCCAATTGCCTGGGGAGAGGGGGGGAGAACAAAAGGCTTATGTTCAATGGATATAAAGTGCTGGACTCAAAGTCAGGAGAGTTCAAATGCTGCATCAAATAAATTACTAGTTGTGTGACCCCTAGGCAAGTCAATATGGCCTCTTTTCTCATCTGTAAAGAGAGAATAATGGGACATACCATATAGAATTTCTGTGAAGATCAAATAAGATAATATATGTAAAATGCTTTGCAAACCTTAAAGTACTATATAAATGTTAACGGTTACTTACGATCTACTGTTATGAGAAATCAATGTGAACTTTTTAAAAATTATATTCACAGATTACTCCTATTTATCTTTCTCCAAATATGTTTATTACACTGTCATTACCTCTTTTTAAAATTATTTTCTGTATGTTGATAATGGACTACTGAAATCTACTGGATCTTTTTCTAAGTATGCTTCTATTACTGCTCATTTAAACCTTGTGAATTTAAAAGCCATATTGTTTGACACATATGTTTAAGATTATTAACTCTTCATTATTAAAATTCCCTTTTACAATGACATAATATACAACTACATGAAGGATCTATGATTTCATCAGCTAGGGATCTTCCTATAGAAAGCAAACTGCAACTTTTCACTTGCACTCCCTTGACTTTCTCAAGCTGCCACCAGCTCAGCTTTACTCTTACAGCCTCCTCCTCCAACTAAGGAGTTCCTCCCCAGAAACTTCATTTGAGGAAGCACCCATTCCAGACAAGCATGCTATAAACTTCTGATTATTTTTCCACCTTGCTCCTGCAGAGCCTACAATGCCCAGTGTTTAATTAAGCACAGTGTCTGACACGTAGTAAGCTCTTCACAAGTCACAGGGAGTTGCCTGAAATATGTTAAAGATTAAGTAACTTGCCCAAGTTCACAAAGCAAATAGGTGTCAGGTGAGACATTTGAACCCAAGTTTATTCTTAGCTCCAG